ACCCACTCATAATTTACATGTGACAAAGTTTATATCAAATTGTTCTTATTTAATGATTTGATTGCCAGGGGAACAAAAGAGTGTTTCTGGTTTGTGTCTGTTTGTCCTTGCTATCAGTGTCTTGTATCTCTTTTGTGATGGTAAAATTACAAAAAATCTGACACAAAGGGTGCTATAGTGAACTATATCCAGAACTGTCCCATGGAAAACAAGTTGACCAGTAAAGTGTGTTGCCAATTTAATTATTTCTGCTTAAAATTTTTGTTTCTACAAATAAATAAGCATCAATAGAAACATTGAAAAAGGTTTTAATCTTTATAATAAATACCATTAATAGCATAATTCTATGTTAAACAATTTTATCTTATCTTATATAATACAGACGTTACTTCAAATAAGAAAGATAAAAGGAGGGGGGAGTGTTCAATTTCATTTTAAAAAAAAACGGAATGAATTTATTTGTCTGCTTGTGTAGCAAATAAATTATACAGAAAACATTTGTTCATAATTTAAGTAATAAAATAAAACTACCGAATATAACTAGACTCATAAAGTAGAACTAGATCACACTCAGTAAAAATGTTGTTTGTTTGTAAAATGTTTTACATGTTTCGGATGTTCTTTCAGAGTTGAAGATAATTACTTCCTAGTCCAAACCTCCTGCAGGACGACGGGGGATGGGAGCGGGCAGGGTTTGAGCCCGAGACCATCGATAAGTTCAAACGACAGTCCAGTGTGCAAACCGAACGATCTACATAATATTAAAATACAAACCATAACTGTTCTTCATCAAATATAAACTATATATAGGCCTACATAGCCATGAACTACATCTAGAATATATTATTTTAAAAAGCCTTCAACCTTTATTTATATTAGAGTGACCTCAAAAAAACAATAGCATAAAGATCTACTTTACATGAATCAATATTTCTTTAAAACAAAACAGAGTATCACTAATGAAAAAATAAACGTAGGATCTACTATAAATAAGTTTTATACAAATATTTTATTAAAAACAAAAGGTGGTAGATAATGTACTCTAAAACTGTTTTCTATGTGATAGTCTATTCTATATGTAATAAACCATGGAACTTACACTTGTATCGAATCTCCAATTGTTGTGATGGTGTGGGCCCGAGCTCAAGAATACAATGGTATGCGCTATTTTAGAAACTCGAATATTGAATGTGATACACCAGAAAGAAAAAGAAAAAAAAAACACTATACATAAAGATGTATCCATTTGTTTTTCATTTCTTTTTTTCAATGTCCCCGTGAATCCCTAATGTAGCCACAGGCTATAAATATATAATATCGACAGTACTGACGGTAGAGCTCGGAAGGGGATATAACTCTGGCCTATTTCTCCCCTACCCTCGAATGTTTCATTATTAGGCCTACTTTTATTACACTATAAAAATAAGTCCGTTTTTAGCGGCAGAGTTTGTAGTTCTTCCACCATAGATAATTCGTACTTCTCAAATATATGAACAATCAAGACAGGGGCGGCCTTACAAATTGCGAGGCCTAATTTAATGGATGCTTGCGAGACCCCTCTTTAATATTTTTTTTTTACAATACCAACTATTAATTAGATCATGATATCAACATCCACTACATAACATGCAAAGGAAGCGAATCAAACGCATTAAGCGCCAGTGGGTTAATATTAATAATATTACTATCTTAATTTTCACTTTTTATCCTTATCAAAACATATAATAGACTCCGCGCTGTCCGTTTCGCATAGGACCTCGCAATCTCTAGGACCAACCCTACCTGCAACGTAGCAACCTAAGGGCAGTGAAGCGAGACAAATCGCTAAAGAAGGACTGACCACTGACCTGCAAACTGTGTGACGTTTAAACCAATATCTATTTGCCAAGTCGCAAGTCTCGCACTAGCTCGTTTATTTTACCCGCCAACTTTGGTAAGAGTAGTTCTCTAGCTTGATATGTACAAAATCCTAAACAGAAATACTTTGGCGTGCATTTTCCAGTGGTCGAGTGGTTCACAATGAGCTTTGCCCTGACATTTATGGACATTGTCAAAGCGTGGGGAGAGAGTGGGGGGGGGGGGCCTCATTTCTTTGTATCCTGTGACAGTTTGCGTAATCAAATCCCTCCACTTTTGTTCAGGTCATCTGTTTCTGTGGCCCACGGTTTACGAGAGTGTCATATGGCCAGCACAACGATCAACCTGCCTTTACTTTCCTCAACAAATGTTAGGTACCCATTAGAGCTAGGTGGACTCAGAGGCACACAAAGATCCCGAAGTTAAAAATCCTTGTCTTCACCAGGATTCTAAGCAGAATATCATTTTACGTTGTCTGACTAAAAAATATATATATATATTTGGACGTTCCTTTCTTCGTACTCCCCCCACCCCCAACCATACATTGGCGGATGACTTTTGACAATGAGTCATGTCTTATAATATGACCGAACCAGCTCAGAATTCGTGTCTTGGTAGAATAAAGGAGTTCCAACCAGAGAGTTGACCTGTACAAGTACTAACTCCTTTGCTTGAGGAAGTGTAGTGATTTTTTTTTAAAAAGGGAATTCTGAATTCTAACGGGGAGAAAAAGTGAGTTTGTAATGTTTTTCAAAAGACATTCCAACAATTAATGTGTGAACAGCCAATGTATGTGTGAAAACTACAGTTATGAAAACAACAGTCGTGCCGCGTAGATTTTTCCTCTATTAATATATTATATATATCAAGGAAACTTTCGGATATTACGTAACGGTGGAGTGGGGGGTGGTGGTCTACAAATTTGTTACGATTTGTTTCAATGGAAAAAAAAAGGGGGGGGCGGAAAATTCGTTACGTAGCAAATTCTTTTAAAAAATTCAGATGAAATAACAGGTGTAGTGGTCTCTTGACCAGGGCACAAAATTCCACAAACCCACACGGGTGCCCCCTCTGCCCGAGCCCGGCCGATCCTCCTCCTCCACTGACCTCTGGTAGGCCTATGTTCAATATTATTATTATTATGCAAAATACTAACAAAGAAAAACAGTTGTTAATACAAATGTTTGTTTAATAATTAATTATATAATTTGTATTATATTACTATCACTCGTATTATACCACAATAAGGTATTTCAGTATTAAAGTTATTAGTTAATTAATTTTGTAATAATAATAGACAAAAATACTGAAACTTTTTTAATAGATAAGAAGATGATTAAGATCATAAGAAAGTCGAAGAAAGGACACATTTACATTTTGAAGTTCTTTTTTCTAGATTTACGTCTTGCAAAGTTTTTGAGTACATCATCAAAGTTAATTTTGCGCAACAAGTCTGCCTCAATCATCAGCAGAGATAAGGAATCAAGCCTTTCTTGTTTCATTGTCGATCTATTTGGATTTTTTATACGTTTCAACTAAGAGAAAGAACGCTCAGTTGAACAGTTCGTAACCATTAATGTTAAAAATATGCGCAAGGCGAGTTCTACATTTGGAAAGGCACACTCGATGTTATCTGTAACTATTAGTTTGTATAATTCTACATGACTGAACGTGTTGTTTTCAGATTTTGATGCACGAAACTTGTGGCGAATATATGAGTGGAACTGTTGTAGTTCAGTATATAAGTTATTGTTCAGATCTTTAGGATAAGCATCTATTAGTCCTTCACAACACTGAGATGTTTGTGTTTGTGATACATCGACCAAACAAGAAAATCGAATTGCTATATCATTATATACATGTCCTCGTCTACTCATCTCTGTGTCAAGTTTGTCAACAATGGCGTAGAAAGCAGATATACGAAATTTGTCTCTGGCATTCAGAGATACCTCAGGGGCATCACCATCATTGACCACTGCCTTTCGTTTACGATTATGGGTCAAAGTTGACTTATAATCCACACCTGGTGTTATTTCTTTTGCAGCTTCTTCAAATCTTTCAAATTCATTCCTAGATTCATGCAAGTGATCTGCTAGTGAAGAATACAAATCAGCACATGTTTTCAAGTTCACGTGCTCATTTTGTAGAGCTTGACTAACCCTGTGAAAATTTTGTAACACTTCTTCCCAAAAGACAAGCATGAAACCAAATTCTAATTCTTGCATCTTCTTTGCAATGTTTTCTGCTTCTCTCTCATTTTCAAGCACTAATGCTGTGTCAGGATTTGCAGAACGGCCTGAAGTAGAATTATCAAGAGGGTTGATGGTGTCAGTAAAATCCTGATTAACCTGTTGCTGAACTGAAACTAAATAATCCGTTATTTTTTGGCTCTTAGCTTTCACAACAGAAACAGTATGTTCTTTTTGTTTAGCTAGTTTTCTCTTTTGTGCACCACTTAACTGAGCACGTTTCATCTTGGGTTTAATTAAATTAAGAATATATCAAAATATAAACTCTAATTTAATTTATTTTCGACAAATTAGGACTACTAACAATTGTTTTCACTAGTATAGCAGACTAAAACGGAAGCAATGAACGTAAATAGCCGCGCAGAGGCAAGAAGGAAGTGTCTCATTGTAGCCTATGTAACACCAATGAGTGTGGCGCCACTTCGCGGCCACTAACGAACGGGGAGTAAGCCTTCCATAAAGCCAATGGAAGACAACCTATATTTCTTTTTAGAAAATTAGTTTCGTTCGTAACTTAATCGACCGATTTTTTTCGAGGACTTGTGGTGCCCCCAAAGCGCTTGGTGCCCTAGGCACGTGCCTTGTTTGCCTAATGGTTAATCCAGGCCTGCTCTTGACTTTCGCGGGTTCAACTTTCGTGAAAGGGCTATACTTTGGGTTTTCAAAAAATGTAAATGGAAAAATGCTTTGAATTTCATGAGGAGTGCTGAACACGTCATGGAAGTGCCGAAAGAGGTCGATACTTTTCCCATCAGCCTTATGATTTCTAGCAGCTTTAACATTTTGTCCCTAAAACGTTTTAATATAGATCGTTGAAAAAAAAAAAAGCAGACAGAAATGAGGACTAGATCTTAATCTATAGGGGATCGCACAAAATAAGCCAATAGACTAGAATCTAGTTTTACTGACACAGTTTATTTTAATTATCAAGACAAGTAACTTCTAAATAATTTTTCTGAAGATTAAAAAAAACAAAAACATTCTTGACAGTGTTACTCTTCATTCTGTGAAGGTGTCTTTAGTCCACGAATTTTGTTGACCATGGCGGGAGACGGGAAATGAAGCGGGATGTTCAAGCGAGGGGCAGTCACTTGCTCGGCCAGGGCGTTGCGAAGTGGGGCGGCAAGCTGGTTCTCAATTTCTTGGATAAGTCGCAATTTATTTAGCAACTGGGTGCGGAAATACTGGCCGACTTCTTGGCTGAAATAGAAAAATATGTATAATTCTAATCATCTTTCATGTCATAGAGATGGGAGACTATCTATTATTTTATCTTATCTCTTAAATTACACACGTTAGTTAAAAAGAGAAGATAACTGTGCCCTACGCTTATCAACGTGTTAATCTAGTCAATTTAATTAGAGACCTTATGTCTACTAAGTCATTGGTTCTTTTTGGCTGATTCAGGCAACCCATTCATAATCTAATGGCACCAGAAAAGAAGGCGCTCTTGAACGAATTCGTCCTAGCTTAAGGGATAAGATGGTAAAATAACGGTAGCTTGTTTTGAAATACTATTGTACTTTTCAGACAAACGTTTTTGACTTTATTTGGGAAATGAAAGTTTACTAATGAATTACTCCAATAGTTCGTGGATAACCTACTCAGGCCTCGAGGAACACTGCTGCCTGGTGCGGTATGCGCGCTGGACTGTCGTTCTAGTGAGCAATGGTCCCAGGTTCATACTCTGCACGCTGCCATCCCCCATCCTCATGCAAGAGGTTTAGGCTAGAAAGTAGATTGTCTTCAACTCTGAAGGAACATCCGAAACATGTGAAACATTTGACAAACATTTCACTGTTGGGGAAACACTGTATTAGGAGAAGGACAAATCATAGGAAGCTAGGCCAGCTCTTGTAGCCCCATTGAAACTCTTCAGCAATCAGAATCTAATAAAAGTACCTTAGAATGAAGTCTATATCACTTTCCGACCTTCGTGTTTTAAAGACTTTTATAAGTGTCATAAAAAAAACAATGCAAATATTTGTATCCGGTTTTTAGAACTTAAGGGAGAGAGGTCGAAGACAGTAATGTCTGATTGTGTTATAGGCAAGACATTAAAAAAAGGCTGTTTGTTTTTTTACAAAGCTTATATCAACTCACTCCGTCTGTCTGTCTGGGTCAAATTTTGTACACGTTATTTCTCCCCCTTCCCTTTCTCGGATCAAGTTAAAACTTTGCACAATTATTCATAGTCCCTAACAAAACATGAATCAATCCAAAATCAATAAATTAATGGAAATTATCTTTTTATGTAGAAAAAGAAAATAAATCTAACAGTGCTGAGATATAAGGCTGTATTTGTGCATTTATTTCCCGTTTATATATTTTAAAATTTTTTTTTTTAAATTTTGATTGTTATATGTTTAAAACGTTCTTTCAGAGTTGAAGATTATTACATCCTACCCGGGATGGTCAAGGGCAGGGTTCGAGCCAAAGACCTTCAAGACGACAGTCTAGAGCGCATACCACACGACCATGCCGCCATCAAGTTTGGAAAGGGGGGGGGGGGGGGGAAATCATGTACTACAATTTACAAGATTTTTTTGTGTGTGTACTAATTTCAACAACAAAATCGAATCGTTGAAAAAACATGTTAGCGCCTTGCGACAATTTCTCAAAACAGGAAATGAACAGGCAACAGCAAAGTTTCTTAGAAGGCTGGATTGGAATGAAAACTTGAAATCGAATTTGGCATATGATGACATTAAAAGAAAAGACCTACTTCAGAACAACTTCAGGTCAAGTTAATATACAGAGATATTCATTCTAGGTTGGTAAGAAATGGGCCAAAATATTGGGACAGATAAAAGAAAAACAATAACTCTGGTCTAGAAAACTTTTTATCTGACCAACTTTTTAACTTCATTTATTGAAGATTTTCATACTAAAGATTATTCGCAGTTGTCTGAACTTATCTTATCTTATCTTATGTAATACAGACATTACTTCAAAAAAGAAGATGATTACGTCCTACGCGCCTTGGTCTTGGTCTACAGTTTGATCCTCGATGTGATTCTACAGTACTAGAAATGGGCATTATTATATTAGTATATCGCATCGCAAAGGAAGAGATTAGAGACAGGATTAGTATGGTGATTGGAACCCAGGATGACCTGCTAACTACTGTCGAAAAAAAAAGAAGAAGAGGCAGATAGAGAAAGCGATGGGAAGAAAACATTAAATAATTGACGGGCCTGCCATTGAAAGAGATTTTATCCAAGGCAAAAGACAGAGAGGAATGGAGAAAGACGGTCAACGGATCTTGAATAGTGCCCCAACAGACTAAAGGATAGGTGAAGGTGATATAGATCAGGGGTTCTCAACGTGTGGATCGCGACCCCTTGAGGGGTCGATTGACGATTTGTCAGGAGTCGCCTAAGACCATCGAAAATATGGATTGTATTTTGTGTATTCTTCTATTGCTGTGTATGTTGCGGGGGGGGGGGGGGGTCGCGGCAGAGTGGGGGATAGTAAAAAAGGGTCGCCGAGCTTAAAAGGTTGAGAAACGCTGATATAGATAGTAAGCAGTGTTCCTTTAATCCTCAGAATCGAAGACATTGTTATATTATTATATATTTCTATCACATTTTAAAAAAATGTATTGTTTATCAATGCTCCCATATTATGTACACCGGATACATCCAAAAAAAAATAATTTGCTATTTCTGGATTAGCCGCCATTTTATGAAAATCTTCCCTACTTACTATCTGGCTAAGTCCAAGTAGAAACTCTTGATAGCAGCTTCTCTGAATTCTCGCAGACGTGTCTCCATAAGCAGTATGTTCTCCATCACTGGCACTGGCAGAACTACAAGATTTAAAAATAGTGTACGTCCTGGTTGGTAAAGTATAAACTAAAGTAAAAGTAAGTACAGTTCCTCTTTCAGACCTTGTGGTCTATAGAGCAGATGATGTAATGGTCATCTGATTCTGTGGCATACGGTAAACAAGGGTGTCATGTGGCCAGCACAACGACCAACCGCCTTTACTTTTCCCTAACTAATGTCAGGCACCAATTAGAGCTGGGTGGACTCAGGGGCGCCCGAATATCCCGAAATTAAAAATCCCAGTCTTCACCAGGATTCAAACCCCGGTCCCCGGTTCGGAAGCCAAGCGCTTTAACGCTCAGACCCCTCGCCTCCCTGGTTGGCAAAGTAGATACCACAATGTTTAAAGAAAGTAATTACGGACAGGGGCGGGCTAGATGTCAAAATTGGCCCGAGCATTTCTTTACCATACCATTTGTAAATCATGTGATAGGCATCCATTTCTACCTGTCCTCAAAATCATGATGTTAAGTTTGATGATGTACCCCTTGCAAGCCTTGCGATCTATGGGGAAGATGATGTAAAGGTCATCTGTTTTTGTGACCCACACAACGACCAACCACCTTTACTTTTACCCAACTAACCTATTAGGGCTGGATGGATTCCCGAAATTAAAAAAACTCTCAGTCTTCACCAGGATTCCTCGGTTCGTAAGCCAAGCTCTTCCACTCAGCCACCGCGCCTCTTGACTGCGCGTGTAGGCTGTTAACATTAGTTCGGAAAATGTGTTCGATTCAATTAGTATTACACTGTAGAGTCTATAGAAGATTTTTTTTTAACACGACGCTTTATAAGACTTTTACACGACTTTTATAAGAGAGTAGGCCTATTATAGGACCTTTAACAATTCAGTAGTGTCATAGTGGCATCCATGCGGCCATTTCGGTACCGACCCACCTGTCATTTGCCCAAATGTCCATAGAGTTAGTCCGCTCCTTGTATTGTATGAAGAACAGTTGTGCAATGTAGGTCCTACTTATGTATTTGTTTTCCTAATTTTTATTTTTTAAAACTTTAAAAAAAAAATTAAGGCGTAATCAGGGGGCGTAATAAACACACATTTTATACGTGGTCTGCTTAAATAAATTATATTTAAAAAAAAACAACTTGCGAAATATTTTATCAAAATTTATATTAAAGAATTGGAAATATGTGGGTGCAAAAAAAAAAATATTGTTAATTAAGAAAAATTAGAGCAATCTGTTCCAAGGGGAATAACTCTTTTATTTTATTTTTTTTCCACACAAGTCGACTATAGTATCGTTTAATAACAAATACTGAATGTTGGACATTGCTTGTAATTTTAAAGACAATACAGGAAGACCAAAAGTTCAGGCACTGTCGTGACACTGCTAAAAAAATCAGTTCAATTTAATTGTTATATACCTTGTGTGCTATCGTACAAATGTTTGCTCTATCATCATCATCATCATCATAATCATCAAACTCCATTTGAGTGAGGGCGTGAGAGGCTTAAATCCTCTCTTGCAAAAGCCCTGGACAGAAACCCTGCTGTCTTGCGTATTGCGTACACGTCACCATACAGGTCGAGAATTTTTGGTTTCCCGGACCTGTCGAGATGGAGATCAGCAAGTCTGGGGAAGTCAAGCAGAATATGAGGCAATGTTTCCTCTTCTTCCCCGCAGCGGAGGCACCGTGAATCGAAATTTGGCCATAGCCGTGAGAAATATGAGCCAACAGGCCTGTCCTGCACTGTGCTATAATAGCTTGCTCAGGCCTGGACAGCCTCCACCACGGGGAAGTGTGGTCAAGGCGCCTCATGCGCTCCCAGATTCCAGGGGCTTTTTGGGAATTGTCCCAACGCTCAAACCCCTTTTCTATTTCTGTTTTTTCAATGCCATTGCGTTGTTTTATGTTGTGTGAAGCCATGATGACAGTGTCGATATTGGGAGGCCATGGTCCGAGGCTTGCAAAGCCTGTAGTACAGATTTTGAGTCAGTGATCACAACAATCTGTGTTGCCCTCAAATGTCCCTCGCCGAGTTTAGAGTCAATGACTTTTAAGGCTTCACAGACTGCCATGGTCTACGCATCGAAACTGCAAACACTACCACATGGTCCACATATTTTGACTGAGTGAGAGCCAAGAATGTCAATGTTTGCTCTAATCATGTATTGTTTTATGTAATGCACAATTGTAAAACAAATTTCCTTACCAATTGGTCCCCTGGTGTTGATAGTTGGCTGATTGGCTGTTAAGGGGGGTAAAAGTAAAAATGTCAGTTTTTTTCATTGCTAAACCTA